TATATATATATATATATATATATATATTATAATAAAGGCTGTATGTATGTATGTACGTACTATATGTACGTACTATATGTACGTACTGTATGTGTGTTCCAGCATAACTCTGGAGCGCCTGGAGAAATTTCAACCAAACCTGATCACTTATCCTCTGGAAACAAATACTGGGGTGGGTGGGTTGTATGTGTGACACCCCTGGGGTGGGTGGATGTCTGTTCCATCATAACTCTAGAATACCTGGTCTGCTAAGGAGAGCAAGTGTGGCATCCTAGAGTGGCAATTGTTTGTGATGTTATGGGAGGGGAAGGGAGAGCCTAGGTTGTTAAGGAGAACGAGTGTGGCATCCTAGAGCAGCAATTGTTTGTGATGTCAGTTCCTTCGCAGCTTCCTCTGGAAAGCCAGCCATGACGTTCACCCTCCAGTAAATCAATGGGGAAGCACCTGATGGATTTGGGGCAAAGTGCCAGGATTTTAGACAGGGCGAGAAAGAGGAGCGCATGGAAGGGGGAAGGGAGAGGGCAGGGATGATGGGCATGGGAATAGGGGAAAGAAAGGCCCCTCTCAATGGCTCCCTGTCAGAAACACTTCTACGTCTATAAATACCCAGGCAACCATACCCAGCTATAATATAAACTCATTTTCATGCATTTACTATTTTCTCACATACTTAATCATATTCATAAATAATATTTCATTATACCCTTATACAAATCCAATAACCCTGAATTAAAGGTTTAATAACAGTAGCAATTTTTAAATTGTATTTTGATTATATAAAGCTTTTGCCCAAGAAGGAGCAAATTATCCCCCATGTACAAGAAAGGTAGTCTGTCGTGTATAAAACCAATCTCTGGATCCAAGCCAGATTTGTTTCCATTGTTTAAGTTATGTGCACTGTTGCAGAGGCAAGAAGGTGAAACTCTTAGTAAGAAACAAAGGTTCCTCCAAAATTAAAAGAACTAGTTCTATCTGTGGCTCACTGTTATTTAAACTGAGATACATTCATAGCCTTCCACTGAATTTATATAAACTGCATTGCAGAAAATAATGTGCTTGGCATGAAACTATTTATTTAATATCATTGATAAACTATCACACAATAAGATAAAAGAGCCTGAAGATATTGTGTATATCTTGGGGGAAAATACTATTAAATTAAACATACCTTACTTCTGAGTAGACATGGATTTCACACTAACTTGTCATTTTTCAGCTACATCATACATATTAAAATCAGAATGGTATCTAGTTACCAAACCTTCATTCATTTTATTGGTTAAAATAGTAATGCAACTTTGTGACTGAAGAAATAAGACTTAAAAATCTTAGTTTCAACTAGTTATGTGTATGTCACAGCAGATATTATTTTAGAGAAATAAAGAGTGCTGCTGCTGCTGATGTTAAAGTTGTTGCCAACCAAATGCTTGAAATGTGAATTTAATAGCCTTCAAATATATTTTAAAATATTCTGACTTATTATACATAGCTTTTACTAATCAAAGATTTTTAATAAAGCCATAAATTAAGTCCTGTAGATGTCAGGGTTCCAAGTAACACCCCCAACGAAAGAAGACTCTGAGGCTAGAAGTTCCTCAAAGTTCCATTTTATTAGAGATGTCATATTGGCACATCTGGAAAACCCAAATCTGAAACCTTCCGGGTTTTCCCCACCCAGAAGAAAGTCATAGTCCCTTCCCCTGCACCCACATGTCCATCACATGGCCCAATCAATCCACCGTTCCCACCTGGCGATGCCTCCTAGTCACGCCACTCCAGGTGCAGGCTGAACTTGACTTTCAGAGAAAAGGATGTTGTTATGGCTGTATATCTCTACCACTGCATGCTTTTCCCCCTTCCAGTTCCCCACAGCACTAAGTGTGGCAGCCCTAAGAATCCAAAGAAAAAGATGGCCTCCAGGACTGACAGTAGACCTATTCAAAAACACATTTTTGAACAGTATAACTGAAATGTTCAAAATACTAGTAAATGATTTAATCATTTTCTATCCAAAGCCCTTTAACCACCAAATTAAAAAGGTAAACAATACAAAACATTATCTAGAAAACAAACATCCTTCTGCCACATAATTAGGCTGTTTCGGGAGCTTACACTAATATACGCTAGCACTGTAAACTTTCATAATTTGATAAAATTCATCCTTTAGTTTTATGCTAGTCTCTTGTGTCAATAGCAGCAAAATTGCAAGGAAACTTATAGCAAATGATTTAGAACATAATGTAAGACAATAATAGGGGTAATATGTGTCTAGGAGAAGAAATGTCAAAAATGGAAAATGTCATTAAAGCATAGCTGAAATTAGCAGAATTGTTTAATTATATTCAGTCCACAATAGGAACATTAAACAAACGAAGCATTGGATAGAATTAAAGAATATATATCACTATGTATTATTGATATAAAGGCTCGCTTCAAGGAATTTTACCCAAACACATAACAACTCTTTTAAACTCTACCTTAGAATTAGATGCAAGCTTTAAAATATTAACTGTTGCAAAAAGTTGTATTTCCATTACTAGCAAATTTGACATTCCAATTCCATTGCATGAAAATTATACTGAATAATCGTGACCCGACAAAAGGGCGAACGACAAAACCGCGCCCGACTAAACCGCGTTGCTAAAACCGCAACGTCATCAGCACGGAGACAACAGCACGGAGACAGAAGGGCGCTTTACAACAGCGTGTCGGCAGAAAGCCGATTTAACTTAAGGTAAGGGTTAGGTTTAGGTTTAGGTTTAGGTTTAGGTTTAGGTTTAGGTTTAGGTTTAGGGTTAGGTTTAGGATTAGGTTTAGTTTTAGTGTGTGCTTCTGTCGCTGCGCTGTTGTCGGCGCGATTCAGCGGTCATTCATCGGAGCGCTTTAGAACACACCGTTTTGTCATCGCGGTTTAGTCAGGCGCGGTTTTGTCGTTCGCCCTTTTGTCAGTGAACCCTGAATAATAGTTCCATTCCTTGCTTTAAAGCTTTTCACAGGATTAAGAACAGCTGTATTCCCTTCAACATTACACTGTGAGACTTTTTCAAGCACAAACACCTGATTCTGATAAATGGCAAGGAATTGGAAAATAAAACGAACTTCCTTTCTATGAATTCTCTACATCCCATAGGCTTTCATACAGCTTTAGAGATAGATGTGCTAAAGAAGAGGCTAAACAAGAATACCAGTACCAGTGACACAACCTGGAATAAAGTTTAAATTATCTTTCTCCCTGAACTAGCTAGCAAACAAAGCCAGCACATCTACAAAGTCTTTCACCATGGCAACAGCAGTCAAAATGAAGACAAATTGCCTATCAGGTTTCAAAGATGCAGCAGACAAAACAGAAGTTTCCATTCAGCTAATGAAAAAGGGGATGGGCCTAAAAATGACTTTCTGTTATATATACATATGCACATATACACATATATACCTACATACATTTAAATATTTTTATTTAGCACCAGAAGGAAAGAATATTTGGTGTTTCCACCTTTTCCTAATATATGCATGAATTATAGATGTGAGGAAAAAATCATAATATATGCAAAGATGTAAAGGTCTAAACAGTAACTTATTAATTAAAATATTTAATGCTAATATAATTATGCAGGAGTTTTGAAGGGTCTGGCTCTTTGGAAAGCATGATTGATGCCCTTTCTTTCTATTCTATTCTTTGTCAATTTTCTTTGCCGTTGTGGTTCTATCTTGTGCTGTTTTTGTCTCTATGTGTTTTTCTATTGTATTTTGCTTTTAAATATTTTAATGATTGTAAGCTGCCTAGCAACATTCAGAGTTGGCCAGCATATAAAATTAATAAATTATTGTTGATCGCATAGTAAGCCTGTTGTTTAGACTGGATTTTATCTACTTATCAAGTTCTTCTATCAGGCCTTAAACAGAGAAGCTGCAATCAGATGTAACTACAGTATGAGTAAATGAAAGAAATCATTCTGAAATCTTGCTTTATAAGAATACCAATAAATGATAATGAAAATTAGATGCAATTTATATTATGAGCTAAGATAAACTAAAACAAAAAGCAAAGTTCTCCATTTCCTTCTTGCAAAAAGGTCACAATAGTAGAAAAGTAAAAGAATATAAAGCTGATTCCATGTGTGAATAAATCATTTTTATTATTTCCACATATACACAATATTGAAAGGCAAGATAAATCTACTTAGTATTGGATGCATTAAAATAAATTTATAGAAAAGCTTGACTGTGATGTTTAGACATATTTAAAATTAGCACAAAACTTGTTTGCTTGGTATTCAATTTTATTCATTTCCTACAATGTTCATAAAGTACTAACAAAAGTTGTAGAATAAAAAAATCAAACAAATGTCCAATTGTCTCACAACTTCAACTGCCTATTCTACCTGAATTAAAAAGTGGAGCAATTCTCAACAATCCTCATTCCAAGAGATACTTTTCAAGAGAGTTTCATATTAATATGAAACAGTTCACCGACAAAAGGGCGAACGACAAAACCGCGCCCGACTAAGCCGCGGTGATAAAACCATGAGTTCTAAAGTGCTCTGACGAATGGGCGCTGAATCGCGCCGACAACAGTGCGGCAACAGAAGCGCGCTGTAAAACTAAACCTAACCCTAACCCTAACCGTAACGCTAACCCTAACCCTAAACGTAACGCTAACCCTAAACCTAACCCTAAACCTAACCCTTACCTTAACTTAAATCGGCTTTCTGTCAACGCAACAACAACCCCTTTTAAAATAGTAATATATCAAGATAATAGACAAACACTTTCTTTGTCAGTGGGGTTAAGAAAAAACATGAAACAACCAAGTCAGGCAGAAAGGACTAGAAGAACAGCATCGTTTGCCTACTGAAGGCACTCTCTCATATATATGCTACTCTTATATACATATACATACACACACACAAACACACACACATGCATGCACTACTTTTTCTTTTATTTATCCTCTCTAATCAATGTTCATGCTTCTGCTAAACTCTCATATCACCTGATTTCTGATATCAAGTATATAATGTAGCTGTTCTATTTTATCTCATCCATAATAACACAAAATAATGTATAGGACATTCTCAATTTATGGAACAGGAATACAATTTTTAAAAAAACCAGAAGTCAGACAGTCTCTATAGTCTATGCAGAGTCTATTATTTGTGTATATTTTTAAAAAAGAAAATAAGAGGACGCAAAAAGAGAAGGAATTAATGTACTCTCACCCGAACAGATAATGATAGTCATTCCCAACTTGGTACTTCTCAAACAGTATGGTCAATGAGTTGGGAATTATGGTTACTAAAGTTCAAAGTATCTGAAGGACACCAACTGTAGAAGTGAAACTTACAATAAGAAGCTGAGGTATTCCCAAGTAACCCTTCAATGAAGACTAGAACTGGAAACTCTGTAGTAATATTTTTTTTGTCCATTCTTAAAAATTATCCTCCCCTCCTGCTTCAGATAATAAAAAATTGGGGCAAATCCTGATCTTGCATTAAAAGCACATATAGGATTCTAGAATTGTTGAATCAATTAATATACAAACAGCCATAAATTAAACAAAATTTACACAGGATTCTGTCCCCGATACTGCTATTTGTAATTTTCTATAAATAAAAATTAACTGTTGAAATTTGTAATAGAATAACGAAGTAATGATGAGGTATCCATTGTCACATTCATCCTGTGTGACTAACAATGGAAACATAGTACTGCACCTTGAAAATACTTCTGACAAAGAGATAAAGAAATTGCTACAAAGTAATTTTACGTATTTGTGAAATACCAACCATTGGAGAGACTTTATCTTGACATTTACCTTCATATCTATTTCTGTGCCATGAATTTGTTGAGCAACTGTTTTGATGATTCCAATGACAATATCTTGGAGTCCTTCCCTCTCTGAATAGTAATGCAGAATGAGGCCCTTCCCTTTTTCTGCATCTGTGCATCTAAAGGAAGGAGCACGCATACCTGGATATATTGTTGCAAGATGGTCGTGCAAAGCATCAAGATTCTGGGGGGGAAATAATTACAAGAAAATCTTACAATCTAATTTTCTAACATTCTCATAAAGAAGCTGTATTCAAGCTAAGGTAAACAGAAATTCAAAGTATGCCTATTATGTATAAAACAAACATCTAAAGGTGTTGGAAGTCACATATTGCAAGAAAGGAAATCAATAAAACAGTACTTGGATGGGAAATCTGTTACTTTGCAAGTATCCCCCTACTTTCATTAACTTACTTTTACTTACACTAAGATAGTGAAAGAAAAACATTCAGATAGTAACCACAATCAGCATCATTTCCATCAGTTCTAAATTATTGTAGTCTTTATTTCTACTCCTGAATTTTATGCAATTATATTTTGTTAATATAACTTTAAAGCATATCTAGTGAGGAATGAAGATGTTTTATATGTAATGCGATAACAGATATCAGATCCATATTTAACATATGTAAATCTCCAAAACTTTGGAAATAGCCAGGAATGAAATGTGTTTGAATATTAGTAGCTCGGGTTCTAGTTAGGCCGTTGGTTTTAGCTCTGAGCTTGGCAATTTGGTTGCAAACGTTTCATCACTATTCAAGGAGACATTATCAGTGCACTTTGAGGTGTGCTCGTCTGTCAGAACACAGGTCTTTAAATACCATTTTATGAGATGCAGATTAGTCTGAATGTTTGTTTGTTCAGATATTTCTGAGTCCTGACCTGATTTTGGAGTGTTTGATTGGCTGGCTGTTGTTGCTGGGCTATAGTTATGTACTGTCTATGTGATGCAGATTAGGATTAGAATTGTTTATCTGGGTGCTTCTGAGTTATGGTCTGGTTTCGGCTTGTTTGATAGTTTGAGTGGCTGGCCGGCTCACAAGAAATTGGATCATGTCTCAGTAACAACAGCCAGGTGAACAACTGCCATGGTGCTGCAACATTCGTAATTTTGGGACTTGCTCGTTAACACCAGGGGGCGCTTATCTTATAACTTCGAACAGGCACTACATGAACAGTCGTAACACTGGGATTACCTGTACTTAACGTCCGATAAGAACTCACAGGTTAGGCCTCCTCCGGGTGCCGTCTGCCAGACAATGCCGGCTGGCGACCACTCGGGGGAGAGCCTTTTCTGTTGCTGCTCCGGCTCTGTGGAACGAGTTACCAACAGAGATCCGGACCCTTCCCACCCTTGTCGCCTTCCAAAAAGCCACCAAAACCTGGCTGTTCCAGCAGGCCTGGGGTTGCTGACTCAAATCAGGTCAACCCCCAATTAAACCGGATGTATGTTGTGTTTTTAAACTGTTTGTATTGTTTTATGTTCTCCCCCTGTATGTTATTTTATTTTATTCGTACTTGTAAGCTGCCCTGAGTCCCTCCCGGGATTTTTGGAAGGCGACAAGGGTGGGGAGGGTCCGGACTTTTATACAGTACATTACAGGAAGTGGAAAGAATACAATTCCATTTATTTCAAGTATCAGTAAAAAATATGGATGCACATGTTTTCCTCATTACATTTTGCTTAATGTTTAATAATTATGCAGAAAACTCAATTTAAGTGGAAGCATAAAAGATTCATTTTTTTATACCTGGCCATCTTTAATCTAGCTTTCAAGGTCAAAGCTGCCTGATATGTTGCCATGTTTTTGAATATTATATCTTCAGAGAGTGCATATTTGTGTAACAGAATATGAGTAGGCTACTAGACTGCTCCCTAAAGTATTTTTTATTAACCACCACTCTATGTCTGATTGATTTTTCTTTTATGCTATTAATACAAAAATACCCCTGGGATGCCTCAAATTATACTTGTTGACTAGCCATTCTTCATTTACATGCTGCATTAACATTGCCTTCAGCAATATTTTCTTCTCCAATTATGTACTTGGAGATATTTTTAAAGTCATAAAATTAAACTTGTATTTAAAACAATGGTTGCGTTTTGGAATGATATATGGATAAATGAATGCACAGAATCACATTTTCTCAAGGTTTTGACATGTATTTGATGTATAAATCATCTTGTCATTTATTGCCTATAAAGCTATAGATTTTTTTTTACATGATTACAAGAACTGTTTCAGATGCTATTGTCAGGGTTCCAAGTAATATACCCACAGCAAACAAAACTCCAAGGCAGGTAGATTCCTCAAAGAATAGCTTTATTGGATATGCCATATTGACATGGGCTGATGAAAACCAACTCTAAATGTTCCCATGGTTTTAACTTCATTAAAAGTAGACATTTTTCACTTTCTCAAAACAATGAGTCACATGGTCCAATCAGGATACAGTCCAGTTGCTAAGTGACCTCAGTCCCCTCCTTCCAAGCACCTGCTAGAATGTCCTTGAATGTCCCAAGAGAAAGTATTTTGTTTTGGCTACAAACCTCAGCTATCTCTACTCGCCTCTTCCCATCTCTTCCCATCCCTTAGCTCCAGTTGTGGCAGCCCTGAAGCCTCAAAATGGCTTCAGTCAGGTCAGTTTCAGGGTTTACAGCTATCATTAATAGGAGTAAAACAATTCGTCCCCATATGAATAAATATAGTATATTATAAAAATACCTCACTTTATTAAAATAGTTCAAATTAGCTGAGCATATTCTTATTGCAATAAAAGTTATTCATCTTAAGATGTCACAGGTTCACTAAAGCATTATCTGGATACAACAAAAATGGAATTTAGTAATCAAGGTTGGAGCTTTTACACTGTTTTTGTTTTGGGTGTCTGCTATTTAAATATGTTTTTCTTATAATTTCCACTAATTTCTTAACTACATGAAAAAAACTGAAGCTTGAAGTGTATTATTTTTGTTCTTAAATGTGAATTATCAAGACATTATTTTTGATAAGGCTAGTGCCATAGCAAATAAAAAGTTACTGCCTACAAAGTAGCCAGAGTGAAAGGATTTCCGATTCTGGATCTAGAAATTTGATAAATTACATTGTTGTGTTTAAGTTAATTGTGCATAGTACCATAGCAAACACACTGTTCAAATCCAATTGTCCTGGAACTGAGCCATTGATTATTTTTCTCAGTTAACTTACTTGTAAAAACTCTCTAACATTTGATCCCAACACACGCAAGATGGTATCATAACCAGATTCTTGGCAAAACACAAAAAACATCTTCCCAAACATTTGAAGGATTTCTCCGGCATTAAGGCCTGCAAAATAAACAAACAAATAAAATAATAAAATTCTGTATTTTGAAAGTGTCAAGGGCAATGCTTTTCGCTAAGCAAGAAGTAATATTACAGCAGTGATTAAGTAAAAAAATAAAATGAGTAATGTTGACCAATACCATAATTATAGTCTAGAAAGACACACTATATCTATTAGTTATTTTCAAAACCAGTTTTAAAATCTTTATGAGAACTTAAAAGTATTTTAGAAATTTCAATTACATAACCAGCACATTTAGAGGAGCTTCAAGAATTGCCTCAAAGTTCAATGGATTGGATTGTGTAAAACAAATTCTTCCAAAAATTCTGATATACGCATGCACATTTATTCTTCTAAGTTGAAGATCAAAATAAAGAATAACAGTGATATGCAAAACACATTTGAGAAGCGCATGTATGGTAAGTATTTTCTATCTCGCACAATTCTAATTTCAATAAACTACAATTCATGAGTCTTTTTTAAAACAACAATTTGGGACAAACTGTATACGATGCTAAATGTGTTAGACATGCTTGTATTAATGTGTGAACATATGCATATACTTGCACATTTAAATGGCAGAAATCAGCCAGTGAAGGGGATACCAATATTTATTGAGATCATAGTATGTAGGAATATGAAGATAAACTTAGCCACTTCATAGGAAAATTGATCCTCTGAGGCCACTATCTACCTTGTAAAGAAAGTTTCCTGAAGCCTGCTCTTAATTTGAAACAATATTCTAAGAATGACTACATAGTACCATTGTCAAGTTATTGAAAAATAGAGAAGGAGAGAAGAAAGGGGGGAGGGAAGGGGGAAGGAGGGAGGGAAGGAGGGAAGGAAGGAGAGTAGGAGAGAAGAAAGGAGGGAAGGAAGGAGGGTAGGAAGGAAGAAGAAGTAGGAACGTTGTAAGATAAGATGGANAGGCCTGGAGTTGCTGACTCAAACCAGGTCAACCCCCAATTAATCCGGATGTATGTTGTGTTTTAAAATGTTTGTATTGTTTTATGTTCTTCCCCTGTATGTTATTTTATTTTATTCGTACTTGTAAGCCGCCCTGAGTTCCCCCCCCCCGGGATTGGGCGGCATATAAACCCATTAAATTGACAATTGAAATTGACAATTGATCTTTACCCAGTTCGTGAGAATGTACAATTCCACCGGCAATCTGACCTCATTAATCTGCTTGTAGACTCATATCTGATTTTTCATTTGTCACCTTGAAAGATACTTCATTATTTCATACTTAACAGGTAACATATCAAAATCCTTTAGCATTCTTTTCATTAAATTGTCATAATATTACAGGAGCTTGGATGCTCATTTTTGAAGTTCCATCCAGGTTGCTCTAAGAATCTTTGTTGAAGCATCCTGGTTACATTACTATTTGCTAGTTTTCTTGCCAAGTTCAGTCTGTGATGTCATCTTTTCTGTTATCCTTGTAAGAATTTATGGAAGTAGCATTTTAGCCTAAACTTTGAAAGAGAGAAAGCAGAATCACACTAAAAGTGTAAGCTCCAGAATGGAATTTGATAATGTGTTAACTTGCTAGCTCAGCTTTGTATTATGTGTGGCTCCTTGTTAAAATTATATTCAAGGTCTGAAGGATGATATTTTTTGCATGTTGCAGATTATCACTGATCTCATCTCATAAATAATGACAACCTTTTTAACCTCTCCAGTAAGAAAAGGCCATTTCATGGATGATAACTGTTCCAATTCTAAATATATTTTAAGTCTTGCTAGGTTGATTATTATATAAAAATATTAAAGAGAACCCTTCCCATAATCTAATTCAGCTGAAACTTTTGATTTACAGTACATGGATGTAAGGTTCACAAGAGTCATGTATTCCAGCTTTATGAAACTCTTCAATGTTTTATTTATTAGCAGTCCTCAATGGAACTGCATCTACATGGAGGGAAGTATGCAGTGGGGTATCCCAAGACTCTGTTTTAGGCCCAGTACTCTTCAACATCATCAATGGTTTAGATGAGGAGATAGATGGGGAACTCATCAAATTTGAAAAGATGTAAAGAACAGTTACTGGAATTGGATATGTCTAATTTGATGAAAAGAAGGATTAGGCATGACATGATAGCAGTGTTCCAATATTTTAGGGGCTGCCACAAAGAAGAGGGAGTTAAGCTATTCTCCAAAGAACCTGAGGATAGGTCAATGGGTGGAAACTAATCAAGGAGAGAAGCAATCTAGAAATAAGGAGAAATTTCATGACAGTTAGAACAATTAATCAGTGGAATAACTTGCCCTCTAGAAGTTGTAAATGCTCTAACACTGGAAGTTTTTAGAAAGAGATTGGATAACCATTTGTCTGAAATGGTATAGGGTTTCCTGCCTAAGCAGGGGGTTGGATTAGAAGACCTCCAATGTCACTTCCAACTCGGTTTTGGTATTCTATTATTCCAATTGTGAATTTTAGACATTTATCTTCCCAATAGGAGATACTTTCTACCAGTTTAGCTTTTTTTCTGCTATGATTTTATCTTGGCATTCTGTGAGATAGGTTTCCTACCTGAACCAAACAAAAAAAAGGCCATTTTAATTTTTAATGTATATTATTTCCCTGGTGCACATATACAGCTTAGCATATTAGAATCTAAAACAGAGGAGGCAGACAACAAGACTAGAAAAATACAGGCTTCAACCTATTAATATGTCTGTTTTGCCTGTAAGTCCAGAAATGCTGGCAGAATAGGATTCCATTAAAATATCACCAAAATAATTTCTCACTAAATCCATCCATACCCTATTTTGTCACAGTTCACTCATTTTAATTCTTTTTCTTAGAAAGCTCCATCCATGACAATCACACCTAGAAACAATCAAATTCACAGTTGTAGGTTGTATGAAATAACACATTACTATGCTGTTATGTTTTGCACAAAAATATAATGAAACACATTTTGGCATTCTACGCTTAAGTGCATACAATGTGTTCTGATTATAACATGACAGTTCTGTGTCATATGCCACAGATTTCATAGATTCGCAAGTATTAAATAGATTTAAAGCTATTTTAAATCAGTGTGGAAGAACAACATAGGAAAAAACTTGCACTTGAACTAAAATTGCACTTGGTGTGATGTATGATTTTTTAAAAAAAAGCAAGTTAGAGGTTGTGGTTAAGGTGATGGCCTAGAAACCAGGAAACAGAGTTCTAGTCCCATTTTAGGCAGGGAAAAAACAGCAGGTTGACTTTGGCCATCTCATCTCACAGGGTTTCAGATCTCACCTGTCTGTAGTAAGCAACTTTCTCTTCCGTTATTAACCTGTAATTATCTTTATCATCTCTCTCATCTTCTCATTTCTCATCTTTTGTCTTTTTCTCACCTTTCCTACTATCTTATCCAAATTATCACTTGTTGTTTATATCTTATGATTGATGTTTATAGCTATGATTTATGATCACTTTGTTGTCCCATGTGTATGGAGGTACACCTAGAACTTATGCACTGGAGACTCACACTTGGCCAATAAAGAATTCTATGCTATTCTGCTCTGCTCTGCTCTGCTCTGCTCTGCTCTATGAGGTAATAATACCACTCTATAAAGTCTTAGTAAGATCACACCTAGAATACTGCATCCAGTTTTGGTCAAGACACTATAAAAAGATGTTGACAATCAAGAAAAAGTGCAGAGAAAAGCAACCAGGATGATTAGGGGACTGGAGACTAAACGAATGGTTACAGGAACTGAGCATGGCTAGTGTAGTGAAGAGAAGGACGACTGCTATCATGTCAGAGGGGACATGATAGCAGTGTTCCAATATTTGAGGGACCGCCACAGAGAGGAAGGGGTCAAGCTATTTTCTAAGGTACCTGACAAGGAATATTGGATGGAAACTGATCAAGGAGAGATTCAACCTAGAAATGATAAGTTTTCAACAGTGAGAACAATCAACCAATGGAACAGCTTGCCTTCGGAAGTTGTGGGAGAGTCCCCTCAGGGAAAAGGGCGGCCTACAAATGCAAATAAACCTCAAACCTCATCACTGGAGGCTTTCAAGAAGAGACTGGACTGCCATTTCTCAAAGATAGTGTAGGGCAGTGATGGCTAACCTTTTTATTGTTGAGTGCAAAAAATGTGAGGGCCCACGCATGTGTGCTGGCACCCATAATGCAAAGCACCCCCCATGTGCATGCACACACACACACATGTACCACTATTCGCCTCCAAGCTGAGCTTGGTATTTCCTCTGGGGGGCCATGGGAGGCCGTTTTCGCCCTCCCCCAGCTTCATGAGAGCCTCCAGAGCCCGGGGAGGGCAAAAAACAGGCCCTACAGACCAACCAGAGGTTTTGTTGGCCTGTCCCATGGCCCTCTTGAAGGGTGATAATCAGTTGGCTGGTGTGTGCATGTGTGCTGGAGATTACGGCTCACGTGCCAGCAGCTATGGATCCACGGGCCACCTGTGGCATCCGTGCTATAGGTTCACCATCATGGATGTAAGGTCTCCTGCTTGGGTGGGAGGGTTGGACTAGATGACTTACAAGGTCCCTTCCAACTCTGTTAATCTATTCTATTCTGTATGATTATTAAGGTCTGCAGACAAGTAAGCAATCCCATTTTTAGGATTTACAAAATCTGTAAGGATGCATCGTTTTCACCAAGATTTAATTTTTAAAAGCTTTTAGTAACCATTTCTTCTTAATTTGAAACTGCTTAACATTTCATATTATTTCTTCTTTTCTTTTTTTTAATTGCTTAGCTATGTTGAATATTTACTAGCTGAGAAGAACATAATATAAATCAAGTAAAAAAAAGTACCAAGATCCTAAGCCAATGCATATGGTATGTACTGTAGGTTTTTCCTTTCTAACATTCACATGTAGTTATGGATGGCTTTTTCCACCTTCCTCTAATGTAACCAAAATACCTTTTCACCCCAAGAAGAATGAACAATCAGTCGAGGCTAACAGGTGTCAGTTCTTCTGCACAGAATTTAACATAATATTTGACAAGGACACGTGTAT